CAAGAGTGCGTTCAAAATTGGTATATTTTCTATACGCTATCCACTTGTAGGGAGGTGCCTCCTACTTGGTAAATCTTAACAACTATTGTACTTCAAGATTTGCACCATAAAACAACAAATTGTTTGAGATTTCATTCATTTTTTCTTCAATAAAAGTACCGTTGCTGTTAATAAGTACCCTAATGCCGCAAAAGGTATACCTGAAAGCATTTATAATTGTGTGCCTTGGTCTACTGGAGTACAAGGCAACGGCGGCTTCTTGTCAAGAACTCAAACATGTATGTATGTATGTGTTAGGGTAAGAGTTAAAAGCATATATAAGTTAACATTTCCATTTTTCACATACTTCTAGTTGGCTTAGCATTGCGATTATTCACAATAAATATGTAACAAATTTATAGACATACCTACATATGTCTAAATATTATGGCAAAATAGTCTGACCCAGCAAACAATTTCTAAAGAGCAAGTCGATGGGTTACAATTTTATTAATAACATGCCTGTGGATCGATTTTTTAAACAAAGAGGTTTGAGTTATTTTATTTGAAAACCGTTATCATATAATATAATACATACTGCATTTTTATACCCTGAACAGGTTATATTAAGTTTGTCACGATGTTCATTACTCCCAGAATTAAACGTCGCAAATTTCTTTTTTGAAAAACTATTTTATTTGACAAATATTTGACATAGACAATCAGCCAACGAAACGCTACAATCTCCGAAAAAATTGTTCAGATCGGAGAGAGCGGACGATCTACCTATAACCCAAATTTTATTTTTGATCATAAAGTTGGACCATGATAATCACGATCTACATTAGCAAGCCAATATATGGATAATACTGGTATATTATCAATAATCAATAATCAAAAATTTTCGATATCATACAAACTACAGAGTAACATATAAAAATATTATTCGTACATCTGTCTTTTTCATCTAATTTAAGTCAAAATTCCCCAATACCAATTAAAATATTGTCACTATTTCAGTTATTCAAAATATTTCCAGTTTGGAGGTTAACTTCGAAAAACGAAAAAATTACCTTTTTACCAATGACTATAAATTGACTTGGTCTAATAACTTCCTAAGTAAAAAATAACTGTAAAAAGTTATACATGTGATAAATGTGGTGAAAATGGGTTCAGTTTGTTTTTTTGTTTTGCAGATAATTTTATGCCATTTATGATTTGAACAAAATGGCCACCACGGCTCCGTTTGCATATCTTCACCCATTTACGCCTATTTTCGATGACCCGGTACAGCATTTCGGTTATGATGCGCTGAATGCTGTCTTCGAGCTCCGCGAGCGTTGCTGGTTGATATCCGTAAACCTTTGATTTAACATACCCCCTGAGAAAATTATCGACAGGCGTTAAATCGTATGATCTTGGCGACCACTTGGCTATGCCATTTCTCGAAATTAACGAGTTGCCAAACTTTTCACGCAATGCGTCCATGATTAGACGTAAAACATGAGACGGCGCACCGCCTTGTTGGAACTAGAGATCGTCCTTGTCGATTTTTTCAAATTCTGGGAAAAGTCGGTCAACATCGTGTTATAACGCTCGCTATTGATGGCAACGGCATTTTTTGTCTCATTTCGAAAGAAATAAGGCCCGATGATGCCGCCATATCGCAATCTCACCCCAATAGCGACAATTTTGTTTGTTTGACGAAGCCATTAAGCCAGAAATGGGCCTCATCCGAGAGGATGATTTTTCGATGAAATGAATTTGCGTAATTCGTGATATGACGTTAATTTGTGTTGTACCAAAGTGAAACGTGACATGGTAAATTGTCAAACCTTACTGTACATGCTGACAAAATTTTTAACACATCACGTCATCATTATTGGTAGGCGCTTCATATTATGCACCCTTTAAATCTCTCTGTACTTACCCCTTTAGTCTCACTTATTTACTCTTCAACATATCATTTCCAAAAGCATTTTACTCACTGGGTTATTTATTTCTGCTGCTCAAATAATCAACAGTGCTTAGCTTAGTTTGTGTGCGTGCATATGACTTCCTATTTTCCGCATCATTTGTCACAATGTCGTCGTATTCCAAATACATTTTTCAAAGTTATGACTAAGTGTTTAGAAACGTACAGCTTTCGCCAAGCTTTCATCACTGCAGACTTTGTTCGACTGTTGTTGACAGCTATAGAATTATTGTTTATATTTTCTATGGAAGCTTATTACATTAAATAGTTGCAAGAACATATACTACATTATAACGGGTTATCTATGTAGAGGTACTTGTTTCAATAGCTGCAACTCGGGCTGACGTATGGAACGACTTAGCGCATTTTACGTCAATATCTTAAAATGAAAGTGTACAAAATACAGCTTGTGCAAGAACTGAAGCTGCTCGACCTTCCCAAGCGACATGGCTTCCCTCTATGGGCTCTTGAAAAGTTCCAAGAAGATCCAACGTTTTCGAGCCAAATTTTGTTCAGCGATGAGGCCCATTACTGGCTCAATGTAAGCAAGCAAAATTGCCGCGAATTGGGACGAAGAGCAACCTGAAGAGATCCAAGAGCTGGCATTTCATCCAGAAAAAACAACGGGTTGGTGTGGTTATTGGGCCGATGGAATCATCGGTCCATATTTCTGCAAAAATTATGCTCATGAGAACGTGATCGTCAATAGCGAACATTATCGCGCCATGATAATCCGCTATTACATGTCTGAAATTGAAGCTTATGATCTCTGAAAAAAAGTCCGAACTTTATGACACTGATGAAAACCAGAAATAGTACGAAGTAGCTAAATTAGTTTCCGGCAAGACCTACGTTTGTGGAATTTAGCTGACTAAACCTATTGAAACAGACAACAAGCGTTATAGGACGACTTAGCAAAGCAGAACCATAACTAGCAGTTGAAAAACCAGACAGAGGTAGATAATAAAACTGACACCTGCGGTAATATATTATATTGCCATAAAGTCCAAAGCCAAGAATTCAAAAACAATTAGATGAATTAGTATAATGGAAGGAGACAAGTTCATTGACTTTAAAAGGCTTATATATTTGACTTTCACGAGAAATTTGAACATACCTATATATGTGATGTCATCCAAGTGAATTAAATTACTAACATATAGTGCTAGAGGATTTTATGATGACAGTAGTATCTGCTCACAATGGCAAAGAAAAATGTTGTCCTTTAAGGAAAGTAAATGTATATGCATGAATTCCTATAAGAGTCCTTGCTGAAGCCCGATAAGCCCACAGTAGCTTCAAGGACAAGAGCAGGAAACAGTAATCGCACACTTAATTCTTAGCTCCGCTCGACTTGCACTTTCCAAACATGCAGCTTTAAAGCTGAACATCTTGTATGTGTAATAAATGTGAGTTAATAATATGTAGAGTTTCATAGCAAACCTTATATATTTCCATTTTTGTTATATCAGCTGATCAGTGGATGAAGAGTCCTAGTAATCCGCGTTCAAGTTCAAATTTTCCATATTGATATTCTTCGAATATTGGCAGTTAAACCGGCAAATAGTTTTATAAACATGAGCGTATTTAAAAACACAAATTTAACAAAATGTAATCGACTTCCAAACCTTCAAACGGGCTTTTCTTGAAACGCTGTTTTCAGATTTAGCGAGGAAAATTTCTCCGAAACTTTGATTTTGTTTTGGGAAGCTACCATTTTGTCGAAAATCAAAATTTTGACTAGTCCTTCGATCATTACCTTAAAGTAATCATATTTTTTTTGAATTTCAGATTATTTTCCATGCACCCGGATCGATTTTGGGAGGTCCGCATGGACATTGGGTAAGGGAATAAGTAATTACAAAATATTTCAAAATGAATCACCGATTATTAAAATCATTAAATTCTGTACATATTTTATTTATTCTAAAAAATACCTCTTCAAGGAACAACTGGCAAACAAATGGTTGTGTACCACTCAGAATTTACTGATTTTCCAAAAAACAAGCAACCATTTGCTACGTGCGCGAACCACTTTTGTCGGATTCGGCTCACCCATACAGTCGACTGCTTTTTACTTTCGAGCTCATACGCGTAAATCCACGATTCATCACATGTCATAGACGTGTTTCGAAGCTATTGTTTTTTATTTTTAACATTGCTCTCGACCAATCGATTCCAGCCTGTTGAGCGATTGACAAAGCAAACCTGAACTAATTTTTTACAGTCAAATGTTCATGCAATATTGAATGTATGCTAGTCCCGCTAGTGCCTTTAGCTATCTTAATTTCACGATAGATCACATAACGATCTTGAAATTTCAGTTTGCGCACAGTATCAATAGTTTCCGGAACAACAACTATTTTTGGACGACTTTCACAAAATTCGTCTGGGAGTGATCTACGACCTGGATTAAATTCACCATACAATCGATAAACACTGGTTATTGATCAAAGTTCGCTGTCACAAATTTAATTAAGTTCATTGATGCACTGTTGCTGCGTTAAACCACGTCGACAGTTGCAAAAAAATATAGGCACGAAAATGTTCGCAATTTAATTCAAAGATGAACATTTTAATTTACTGTAATCAAAACAAATAGCGCTCGTATGTCAAAAGTGTCAAAATTTACGATAAAGTTGTGAGTTCACAGATTGCAACACTAGTGTCGCCAAATCCCCGAAATGTAAAAGGTAACCTACATAACCCCTTAATCGTTCGCTATTGAAGCGTGTTCTTCCTATGTGTATACTATACTTGCTTCTGTTTTAAAATATCAACTCAAAATTTGCTCCAAATAAAAACACCTTCCACTTACTATGAAAATGAATTCGTGTTTATCCATGAAATTAAAATAGCAAATACTTTTCTTGTTACATAAATTAAAGTATTATTGAAGAACAATATTAAATTTGGGTCGATATATAAAAAGGATGTATGTATGTTTAAGCGGGTTAAGAATTTCCATTGAATATATACAGATGTATAGATATTTATGTATATAAAAATATAATCTTATATTAAAATAAAATATAATAGAAAAAATATTTTGTTGTGTGAAGCATTAACTTTACCATTATGTGTAAATATATGTAAATAGTATGTTGATATTTTTCTTTTTCGAGACAATAGGAACTTAATGAACAATTTGCACTTAATTTTATATGCTTAAGCACACATACATTTGTACTTACGTATCATGATACATAAAAGCATATAAATTAGCAAACTTATTTTACTACTTACTCTAGTATTTTGAAAATGTATAAATATTACATAAGTGTGTTTAAGTAAATAAATTTCTGGAACATGTTGACCGACATTTTGTTGCTATAAGCTTTATATTTTGAATTTACTTCATAAACATTTCAACCTGTATTATTAAAGTTAAAAGATGGTTAACTCGAAAGTAATGGTTAGTGTTCTGATTTTGTAAAGTTAAAAACTATTTTATATGTATTATTTAGGTATGTGTTTATACAATATATAAGAGACAATCTCTAACTCTCCATATCATATTTAAATAATATTATAATTATCGTAAACGATATGTTCAAAAAAACATGTATTAAAAAAAATTGTCCATTTCAACAAAATTATTTATATCTTCCAAAGGCCATATATTTGCCAGAGTTTCTTCAATGTAAGAACAAATCATATTTAAAAATAGGAAAAATTTATCATAACTCAAAATGAGCGATTTCTAGAAAAGTGGTGAAATCTCCTTAAGCAAAAACTAACTTTGCTTTTAGAATTACATTTTTTTACAACTGAAGCTAACGGATTGTGGACTCGAAGGCAGCCGACCTTTTTGAAATTTTTATTTTTTTAAGCGAATATATGCTATTACTAGAATTTTTTGCTTTACTCATCAAGCTTTCGTAACAACTCATTTGAGTTATGATTTTTAATGCTTAGAGGTTGTATTCAACACAAGAGAATATGTAAGTGCCTCATTAAGTGATTATCTCTTTTTCGTCGATTACAATGTTTGTTCTATTCGGCACTAGGCACTACATGAGTGTAAATGTTATAAATGCCTGTCGGTGTCAACTAACAGTATAATTTTATAGCAAGAGGTTGAGTTTACGGTAGTTATGTTATTATACATAGGGCTTTCAAAAGGCAGTAAAAATTGTGTTTTATATTGATAAATAAAAATAAAAACTTGTACTTCTTCCAAAGGTAAATATTGTTGTAAATTATTTTAGTCAATAGTGTTATTTTAGTAGGTGTAGTAAATGATTTTAATAGGTACATCCAAGTAAAGACTTGATTACTATATTTATTTGTACATACATATGTATGTAATATATACATATGTGTCACATGACACTAAGAGGAACCACAGCGTTTTAGGTACATAGATTATTGCTTAGTGAAAATATCTGATACAAATCTAATTTAACAGTGCTGTAGTTAAATAAAATTCCATACAAGACAAACTCGAAAATCAAAGATCTAGGTACCGTTAGAGGAGGTTTTATGCTGTGTATGTGACACGCAGAAAAAGATAATATCGGCATACATAATTATTATTCTTGAAAATATAATTATGTCTAACTGGCTAGAAGTATAAGGTTTGGAATTACTCTATCGATATTATTTGCCAGCCATTAACTTTGACATGTGATATCACAAACTGATGTAATATTTTTTTGACAAAACAAACCTTTAATTAGACAACGTTCATAAGGTTCTAACCAGAAACGACTACTACAAATGTCATCCGTTTCGGACAGGGGTGTAAAATTTAAAATAATAAAAAAGGTATTAAATTTCACTATAGATTAGCACTTTTTGTCTTATTTACACTTAATTACTTTTAGTTATAGTTTTTCGTTTAGAAATATGAAAATCTCTCCTTTTTACCCCCATCTCATCCAGCTTTTGATTAGAAAAAAAAAATGTTAATTCCGATTTGCTAATTAAAAATTAAATTTGAAATAAAAAGTTTGCAATCCTGGTTCAGCCGCTGGCGCTGATGGCAAATTGGAAAATTAGAAAACGGGATTAGTTTTTTTCACTATTCCTGATATACATAGGTAATAGAATATTTATAGATCCAGTAGACATAAATTATATATGAGATCTGTAGTAAAAACTTTTAAACGTAAAAATGGGCGTGGTTACAGAGTTAGACTTAAAATGTTTGCTACTAAGAGTATATACTACGCAGAAACCACTTATTATCTATTAATGGCACTCTTTTGCCTACATAATCATTTAATGACCTTCAAGTCCTTGTAATAATCTAGCCTACTTATGTAATTAGTTTATGAAAGTCATTAACATTGACTTTCATAATTTGTTTTTATGTACATATGCATATATGCCGGTAGGATGTATATATAGTATAGATAAATGCATATTTACAAATGTGTGCATGGTATCTAAACAAAAATGGCGATAAGCATCAGGTAAGTTGGCGAGTAAAGTGACTAATATTGTACAATAGCTTCAGTCGAACGAAGTCTACATAATTCACTACATGAAATTTGAACGATTTGGTTTTTGTAACAGAATATGTTTACATATAATCAGAATTCTGTCTGCTGCAGCGTTTCCAAAGAGGACTTCTTCAGCAGTCTCGCCTGCGAGGAATCCGAACTTTCGCTAATACGATGCGTAAATAACGGTGACATAACGCTGTAACCATCCGGTGTAGTTGCTTGAAAATCATCCAAACTGAACGTTTTATTATGTATTATATTATTATTGTTGTTGTTATTTAAACGCTGTGTTGGAGACACATCCAATGTATAGCTGACGGGTATTTCAAGGTCTGCATGCGCGACTGACTCAGTACTACCGATTAAATCATTAGAGTCTTCAAAATGGTTCGTGATATTGGTTTGCGGTAAAATATCCAGCGTTGAGTCACACCTGAACGGTGAGCATTTACGTGATTTGGGTAAAAGTTCCACTTCATCACTTTCGATTTCGGGCATTTCCACCGAAGCGCTCGGTACATCTAGACAAGGCGTCAATAAGCGTGGATAATTCGAAATATGATCGATGACCTCTGAAGCAGTTGGACGCTTTTTGGGCTCGTGACTCCAACAGGCTTTAAGCAAACCCTCTAACTGTGGCTTCGCACCCGTAGGTATTTGCAAAGTTTTGCCACTTTTAATATATTCAAAAGCCTGATTGTTAGTTAGGCTTTGATATGGATAAGAACCGAAGGTGATTATCTCGTAAAGCACAACACCAAAAGCCCACACATCCGAGGCGGACGTGAACATGCCGAAAGTTAAAGATTCTGGCGCCATCCAGCGTACAGGTAACATGCCTTTTCGATTGAAACGATAGTAATCACTCTCGTAGGTGGAGCGCGCCATACCGAAATCGCCGAGTTTGACGACACGCTGCGCATTCACTAGACAATTGCGGCATGCAACATCCCGGTGTACATACTTTTCGCTGGCGAGGTAGGCGAGTCCACGTGCCACATCCATGGCATACATAGTTAATCGTTTCGACGAGACATCCGAGTCTTCGGTTACCTTCTCTTTGAGCAAATGTCGACGCGCTAGCAAGTATGTCTTCAAATCGCCATAAAGCATGAACTCCATGATTGTGTAAATTGGTTCGGTTTGTAAGCAAACACCCAAGAGTGTAACTATGTTATTGTGATTTAAACGTTTCATAGCCTCTGCTTCGGATAAGAAATCCAAACGATCTTCTGTGGAGGCGCCTGCTTTTAGTGTCTTGACTGCCACTGCTGTCCAACCGCTAGCACCAATCTGCGCCTCACCACCATACACCATACCGAACGCACCTTTACCCAAACGCCGATTTAGCACCACATTTTCTTTCGGCACTTCCCATTTGTCAAGCGTATTGCTCTTATTGCGCGACGGCGCCAGCAAGTCAATACCGAAATTTTTCATTATTTTCGCTGACCGCTTCAGTTTCTTGTCGTAACGTTTCTTCCAGAAGAGGAAAGATGTTAACGATACAATTGCCACAAATAAAAGACACACCACAGCCGTGAACGTGAAGGCTGCGCTTTCACAATCCTTATTGAGTAATTTTGCTAAAAGTGCAAAGCTACAGTCGTACGTACCATCGCTTGGTCGCTGACCACCGCTCTCCAGCCATGTCACTTTAGCTTCATTCAACTGCAAACGGCCACCATAGGTACTCATAAGATTGCCCTCGCCTATCACACGTGGAATAAATTTGCCAACATAATGAAATTGCGTATTGCGCCATTGAACGATGTCTAAATCGGTGATGCGCGAACCGCCTTGACCGAACTGTACACGGCCGGAGAGTCCCGTGAAATTTGTCTGCCAAATGAGCTGTACCAAACGCGTGACCACACTTTTACTACGCAAATTATTTACCGCATCTTCGTTCTCCGTCAGCAACTTTGACACTGCGTAGGCGTAAGCCCAAACAGCATCGTACGCGTAACCGGTGTAATTGGAGAGCACATCATTAGTTTGGGAATGTGAGTGTAACCATTCTCGTACGGTTATATTTTCCTGCATGGTAGCATTCAGATCACCAAAAGGTGTATGCATTATGCTGAAGTGACCTTCCGTAGCCTAGGGTCATGAAACACAGTTATATTAACTATTATACTCTTCAAATACACTATTCACGTCTTTACCTTATTTAACTGCTCTTTTGTACAGTTGTGGTTACCAGCCAAAGTACTCCAGTCTTTAGATATCCATGAGGGCAAGAACCAAACATAGCCGTCGTAAGCTGTCATCTATGGAGGTAAATTCAAAATTTATTTTAAGTATGTCAGTTATCGAAGTGATTTATTTCTATAGCAAGCTTGTATATAATCTTTTTGATAAGAAAAGCCTAGCTATTGTATCGAACTACTGCATGATAAGACTAGTATTGATATCTGACCACAACAGAACCACAGGGTATCGTAAAACTGACAAGCTTGCAAGCAAGCGAGGAAGCATTTGTCTCAGTGGGTCAGAGCTCCACTGTATTCTTGTGGTTTATTATTTTATGACTGGGCCTCACGTAAGCCTGCCCAGCACCGATCAATAACTTGCGCATCAGCAGTCCAAAGGCGCTCCTAGCCCGAACTACATTACAAGAGGTCTAATGAATTATTTTTGCCCCACCTTTGCTAAAGATCAAGACTGAAACATCTTAGACTACACACCTTCAGCCATCCAGGTAAACTAGCAGAAATATAAATAAAGTTCATATTTGAATTTTAAGGTCGAGTTCAAGTCCTTTCTCGGTACACGATAATGAACTACAGGAATTTTCTGACACCACAAAAAAATTACCTTCAACAGTCCAACCTATTAAACCTATCCAAAAATATCCTTTCCCACAATTTAAAGTTAAAATTATTTTAAAACACTTGACTTGCTACGGTTCCGAAGCTTGAATTTCATAAAATACTGTCGCTGCCTAGTAGTTTATAAATACTGGAATGGGATTTTTCATAGCTATCAAAGAAGGCACAGGGCGAATACGCTATTTAGCTGTGGGCTATCCAAAGCACGCAAGCGTAGCTTGACTGGCAGAGACCCAGAACTACTAAAAGATTATTTTCAAAGCTTTCTATAATGAATCTAATAATACTCGACTCTTTTAAGCGACAGAAAGAAATTTGTACCAGCGAGGGCTATACCCGATTAATAAAAAATAAAAAATTTGGAAAAATAGCATGGCAGTGAAAAATTTGCTTGGGGCAAAATACAAGAAATAGTTGAAAATTTAAGTTAAAACAAGAAGAGGAGTTCCATCGGAAAACCCACTAAGATATTTTAAGCCATTTTCTGTATTATATTTTGGTATTTGTAGCAACTTACACCCAAATTAAAGGCCTCACAAAGCACCAGCTCAGCATTCCTGCTGTGTATATCCGCAATAATGATTTTGGCGTGCTTTTCTTTTAGATCCAACAAATGCTAAAATTAAATATGTTAATGGTTGAGATTAATATTTGACAATCAATTTAAGTTCTATTCTACTCACTTTGTTCATTTCCGAAACCTTCACATCACTTAGAAACTTCTTATTGATAATCAATTCCAAATTTTGTTGCTTCATAGCCGTCTCCATATGCGATATATACTCGGTATACTTTTGTCCATCCTCCGTAAGCGCAGCAACACGCCTCCAACCCAAATATTTCATTAACTCGACATACACGTCCTCATACTGACGATTTGAACCGATCGTACGAAAGAAGTACGGATAAGCACGACGATCGATAAATGAGGCGCCCTCCGCCGAGTAAGATATAACCGCCATATTTGTATGTTTCGATATGCCGGCTATGGGTTCGACGGTTTCACTACAAGCTGGACCCAGCACACCCAATACACGCGGCTTAGAAAAATAATGTATGAATACTTTCATAACCTCGTCCGCTTTACACTGACCGTCGTGAGTCTTCGCATCGAGATTGTAATTTTTAAGCAAACCACTATGATTTACAGCTTCAACAGCTTGCCTAACGGCTTTCGAGAGATTTTGATGACCACGACTAAAGTCCGTTAGCGGAAAAATGCCACCGATATATAATGTAATTGGTGACTTTGTGCTAATCCATTGCATGTATGTCTCCTCGTTAGACTTTAGCCAATCGCATGCCACTTTATTGTAGACGTCCTCGATACTCGTATCGCTGCTATGCCAGTGTGGGCTCAGCTGTAGTAGCTGAAGCATATGGTCGGATATTTGAAACTCGCGCAGAGCGGACACCAAGCGCTCGTCGGTCAAACTTTGCTCATAGTACTTGAGTACCGGTGTGAGCTCATATTTGCAGACGGTTAAATATAATATCGACAAGTCTTCACAACGCGGCAAAGTGATTTGATAGAACTCAATTTCGCCATCGATCACAATGGATGGCGTCCAGTGCACCACAATAAAGCGTTTATGACGTAATTCAGCACTAAGCTTATCCTGGTATTTGCCATGCAGTTGACGCAGCTTCTCGCGAAAGTCCGCACCCAACCATAACACGTTAACGAAACTGTTTGTACTGGCTATATGATGCATGACGAAGGCGGTGTCGGGTTTGTGCTCGGCCAACAGTGTGACACATGTTTTTCCCACGCAATTTGGGCTTATGTATTCCTCGTAGCTAATAAAATTGTATACTTACTACTTGAATATATTTTGAACACGAGTATATATGGCATATATTTTACTCACTTTTTACCCACACGCAGTTCATCTAGTATCTCTACCGGTACTACGTAACGTCCATAATCACCATGCGTTTGATTCAGAAATACGCTGTAGTGCAGACTGTAGGCGGCCAACTCTAACGGCATATCGACTTGTATTTTCGGCACAAACCAGCCGAAACGTCCGGGTGTTATTGATATGCCAGCTTCCAAAACTGTTTCTGACACTATGGATCGCACAACTGCTGGCATCCAAACAGCTACATTGATCATAGTCATAATCCCATCAGGCAAGTATCTGCAGGAAAAAGGAACAGTTATAATTTGAAAAACATTTACACAATTAAAATAAAATTAAATTAAATTATTATGAAATGAAATAAAAAATATTAAAACTAAATTATATTATATTAATTTAATGAATATTAAAATTAAATAAATTCAAAACAATAATTAAAATAAAATAAATAAAATTGTTCTAAAATAATTTCATTTGATTAAGTTAAATTATAATTTTAATTTAATTATTAAATTAAATTTACATTGAAATTAAAATATATTTTTTTTAATATTCAATTTTATTTAAAATCTGCCTTATTATTAAAATCAATACATTTTTTTTAATATTCATTTTTATTTTGTATTTACCTATTATTAAAATGATTTAATTTTTTTGGTTTTTTTTTATTTACCTCAGCTGATCGAATATGTTGCGATAATTGATCTCTTCAAATTTATAGACAGACGCATTAACCTTATTTACAAGCGGCACTAGTGAGACATTACGATAATGAAGTTTTTCACGTAAAACGATAGCGAAAATGCGACTCATTACTTGGTGTAAGGCGCGATCGGAAACTTGCAGGCCAATTGAATCATCTCTCACATTTGAGAAATTTGGTAGTAGTTCTGTAAATAAATAAACGAATAATTATGTTGAATTCCCCCATGGAAATAATTATAACAAAGAACTGATATCGAGAATCCATACTATCTACTTATTATTTACGTCCTACACATGTTCTGATTCTAAAAGAAAAACGAGTTAATGTCAAAAATGTAAGGGAATCTACGATCCAAGTGTTGTATAAAAGGCATTCGACCGTGCGATCTCAATAAATCCTTTAAAAATTGTTTCACTTCACTCAACGAGACTTCTGCATACCGCCTTTAGAGGGTTTGAAAACTCTTAACGGTTACACTATGGGTAGTATACCGGAGTTCTTAGGCATCCTTCGATTTTCACATTCCCTCTATTTAGTGCTTCAGCACTTTGCTCTTAAGCTTATTACGCGAATTTATAAGTATTTAAGTGACTATAAAATAGTAATTTAAATTATGTGAAAATATTTATAGTTTTAATCTATTATGATTAAGTAATCCGCAGGACTCACAGTGTTTCCAAACCTCTCTAAAATTATTGGTATAGACTTACATAAAAGTGGGAAAACTTTCTTACATATTACCAAGGTGCTTACATAATCTTAAATAAAGAATATATTTACATCTAACTGTAAATCAAGTTTTCAAAATTACCGTCATTCCTAAAACAGTTGTAATCAAAGTTATGTGGATATTTCTTTCTGTATGCAGTCCTTGGCAACTCTTCTGTAGACAACATCCCTTGACTCGCTACTATTTGCCCGAACAAGAGCACAAGACCAGCAAACCAACAAAATTGAATACTTGTAGTTGGCTGCATATTTGAGCCGATTTTCAGTCTTAACTTCTGATAAATTAAATCTTTAGAATCGGTAGTCCTGTTACCGCTTTCACTTCAACTTTGTGCATACGTTGTCAAAGTGTTTATTTTATTCCATTTATTTTGTATTATTTCGTAATTTTTTTAGTATCTTCTCAGTGTCCTTTTCAAATTTTCATTCAATTGATGTTTGCACATAAGTGCTGAATATTTTTTTTCGCAATTTTGTTTTACAAGCGCAATAACAAATTTAATTCTTATCCGATTTTTATATCAGTCTTTTTTCTTATCTAGTTCACAATAAAAATATTTATAGCGATTCCGGATACAATCAAATTGTATTTTGAATGTCTAATTAAAAGTTGTAAATATCAGCCAGTTTATTTTTGCTTTCTGAAAATGGAGAATTAAAAAAATAAAAATAGTTAATAATTATACTCATAAAATATATAGAGTTTATATAGATTAACTATATTTTAACAAAAACGAAAAGAAATAACACTACAACTGAATTTAATAAAACAATGAGTTAAATGAAAGCTATATACTACAGTCAACTTTCTATTAATCGAATGTAAAAACATTTCAAACTTCAAATAACTTCGTAATTGAAAGTGTTATAGTATAAAATCCCATTTTCGAACAGCCAGTTGTATGGGAGCTGCATGCAGGACCGCCGAGAGAAAAACCGGGCCCGGGTTATATGCTCTCATCACATCTGTAGTAAATTTGCTTTCTTTTTAATGTTGAGTGGAACAAATTTATTTCGTACGATTTTAAAAATCCATAATGTATAAATCAGTTCATACATAGACTTTCAGTCAAAAATATATTTTCAGATTATACCGGAATATATGAATAGCAGGACTTGACAGTTAATAAGAAGACAGAAAAATCTCAATCAAACTTTTATTTATCGACCTAATTGATGAATTAATGAACGGTTCTTTTGAAATGAGTTGACAATCATGGTTAAGTTTTTGAACACAATGTTTAAAATACTCCATTCTTCAATTATTTGGAACTTAGAAGTGGGCTTTCCGAGCTTTGGCGGCAGCGAATGCGTCGATAATAGTCAGAAAATCCAACTTGGCTAATTCTGGTCTTTGGCACAGTGTATGTGATCCTAAAATCTGGCCCTGTGACGAGCATAAGCACTAAACAAACGTTCTCCACTTGAAACAGAAACGGGTAAAGTGCAAAATATTTTCGAAGCGATGCAAATATTTGGGACAAGTCTGCCCAATTTTCGAGCATTGATGGAATTTAATAAAATGTATGGTTTTAGATGGGTTTTAAAATATACATCGTAAACGTGTCGGAGGTGAATAGTGTAAACTAATTGGACATCTTATCAGATAAAGGGTGTCCAAAAATTTACGCGCGATTTGAATTAAATAGAAAACACAGTTTTTAGTCTTTCGATTGTAATTTTTGTATTGAATCATAAAGCGCATAGGATAGGGTTATTTACCACAACTTTCCATACACATACGCAATTGTTTGTCGAAATTTTCCATGACTCTTCTGCATAAATGTTGCTGAACCTCATTAATGCAACGTTGAATCTCCTCCTTTAAAAAACGCTTGATTGTGGGCTTGCTACAATTGGCCTGTACTTTTAAAGAACTCCATAAAAAGAAATCTAATGGTGTTAAATCACACCATCTAGGAGGCCAATTCAGATCACCAAAATGAGAGAGATTACACGACCTGGAAATGTCTCATGCGGTAATTAAAGTGTTTCACGGGCTGTATGACATATAGCACCGTCTTGTTGAAACCACATATTGGCCACATCAAAATCCAATTAAGACAAAAAAAAACTGGGTTATCATGTCGCGATATTAAATCGAAATTTAAAGCTTGCGTTAGTTTTAGATTACCCTTTTATCAACGAAATACTTTTTTTCAAAATTTTTTGCAGCTGCGTTGAGTTTATTTTTATTCATATAATGGAACTGCCATAGAAATGAGAACGAATCGTTTATGTCACTAACTGTGGCGAATATTTTCTTCATTCTACAGATACCGCTGTAAAGTGTGACATAGAAAGTGATTCTTTTGAATTCAATTTCTTTTTTACTGCAATTTTCATCCACTTCTTCATACAGGTAGGAAAAAGATAACCGCGACAGAAGATCAGTTTTTCATAAAAGCGTTTAGAAATTTTCCAGCTGCCTATATGGCATACGGGCCCTTCTTTACTGGCCCTTCTGAGTCACGAATATTAGCAAAAAGCTATGCAAACTTGTTTGTAAATTGAATATTTCAACTCAGCTTAAGAACAGCCGTCCAACTGTCCAAGTTCATAAAATTGTCTTGGCCTTGCTTAAAGCTTGTTGAACATTTTTGGGTTAGCAGTCAGAGGAAGCTTTTTTGGATAAAACTAAATAATTTTTAAAACGTATGTTAAGATCTAAATATAGGATTAACTACCATATATTTCATATTTAACTAGTAAATATATTTAGAAAACGAAATAAATTAAAATACTTATGTTCCTATCTTATCCTTTATTACAGGAACTGCAAAACGAATGTTCGCAGTCCTATAGGAAGCATTTTTATTTGAATATCTTTAAATATCTATATTTACTACCCCAGTTATACATACTTTGCATTACTACACTTGTATAGACATCAGAACTACAACACATTCATTCATAACCCACGCTAAGTCGACAATATTGATAGTACGTATATTAATCTAAGTAAATGTTTCAGTTACATAACCTCACTTGATTGATTATTTTGATTACTGAAATCAATTCATTGATGAAATTCGTTTTAATTAGATTATTTATATGTAAACAGTTTACAAATTACTAATAATAAAACTGCAAAATGCAACAATGTTAATCAAGAGATATCAATAAATACGAATTGTAGCATTTGACTAACTGATAAATATCAGTAATTATCAGGTTTTATTATTAATGCACACAAGTGTTCATAAAAATTGAAAGTGTTAAGAGAAGAGTTGAAGCCAGTTTCCTGAACATTTTGAAGACGTCAGCGACATATCAAAGATGTGATGTACACAGTTTCGTTGTTGCCGTACTAAAACCTTTCACTTCAATGAAATTGAAATATTTTGTTCAAAGTGAAATTATTTGTGCTACAAATAAGTAAATAGGCCGATTTATTTGTATTAAATTATCAATTGTTATTACAAATGGTATATCAGTGATTTTTTAGACTTCTTTTGGTAAAATAACGTTAGACTTGTTAGAGTTTTGAATAATTTTACATTGCACATATCAGTGGCAACACTACAGCTGCCCATTGTCGTCGGCAAAATTAGCTGGTTATAATTTACTGGTTATAATTTAACGACAGCGACAACTGCAAGCCTCCTGCCGTGAAGTCGTGCCGTTGTCTAAATAACTATGCTCATAAGAACGTGTGTATTTTTATATTTGACAGATGTTGCCTGTCGCATGTCGTAGTCTATGTGTTCAGCATTTAATAATTACTGCTGTTGCTCATTATCACGGATGGGCACCACCCCAACCAAACGACACTCACAAAATGACATTGTGTTGTGTGACCGAATATGTGCACATGCAAATGAATGTATCAAAATTATTATTATTTCAGTTGAGTGACAATTAGATTATACAATAGTTGGACAATTTGGCATTTAAAAAAGGGATTATATGATAATTATCGAGTAAGAATTAGTTTAATGGACCCCCGTCCGCATCAACCCTTTCAGGCAACTGCTGATTGCAGACCATAGTATAAATCAACAAGTAACCAATCCTAAGTTTTTCATTAACACATACGGGAAAATTTGACATCTGGCACGGGTTGTCGCCAAATATTCTACTACTAATTGGGCGCTTGGTACGGGCCTACTGATGTTCCACTATCAGTTGTGATGTTTAATATTCATTGTTTTCCTCTCGAAATTTTGAAAATTATCTGAATATGGTCATCAAAGTGGTCTCCCCAATATCTACTCATGGACTTAAACAGGGTTTTCCACTAAGAATGTTAGCAAAAAACACACTAATTGTTAAGGAAATTCTAATGTTTTTTCATTTAATGTAAAGGTGGACGATTATTACGACCATAAAATGGCAAAAGCGCACGAAAAGTTGCAATTGGAGAACGATTAATTTGATAATAAAATTGAATAATTTATGAACGTTGTTCTTGAGTATATCTTTTCATGATGAAGGTGTAAACATTACTGAATACAATGAAAAAACAATTACAGACTTTGGCATATTAAAAATGGCCGAAACGAAATCATATCATCCCCATTGGAAAACCCGATAGAAACGAAAGTTTCAAGTACTTGTATTATGCTAAGAAGCAGGTTCTTTCGTCACTTATTTTAGAATTAAAGCTTTGGCGAAGTGCAGTTTTTGCATTAAATCAAAACTTTGTATATATTATATTTAAAATGATGCATAGAAAAATATTTTAGTGTTCAAAACAACGAATTGAAATTCAATAGCGGACTTACATAAAACCACTTACTCTGGTTATGACATTTTAGGTGCCTTTAAAATAAAGACAGTGATTCGAACAGAGAAAAAGGCAAGATTCGAGTGCATTTTTTGCTGAGCCATTGCTTTTATGCAGCACTTTATGTTTTCCTGTATCGAATAACAAAAGTTCATTGTTTTCACTTAAATGCCAGTGCAAAATACGAATGCGACATTTGGTTGAAAACAAAATATTTTTAAAGAAAATTCGCTTGCTTGGCAAAATTGTTGTCAACAAGTATTAATATTTTATTCAATAAGGCTCTGGATAATTGTGCTTGAACATGCCTAATTATTTTTGAGCTTGAACTCTTTTAGAAAACGGGTGCAGAATATTGACCCTCATACTTGTAAATAAACACATACATACATGATTGTTTTTATGGGTTAAAAAACATTATGAACTCTCTAAAAAGATATTCTTAATCATTCAACGTTAGAAATAAGATTCAAATATTCTCACTCTTAAATGTTATTTCCAAAAGCTAGTTTGCTGTTAATGCCCCTTTTTTAACGTCATACATCAATCAATAAAGGTTTTTTTGTAAAAGGTCGAAATCATGATTGAGTAATTTTTCAAACAAAGTAAGTAATTTTTCAGACGAGAGTATTGAAACACTATTTGTAATAAGGTTTATTCCGATATCTTTATGTGACTGCTATATACAGGCCTTTGTAAAGCCAGATAAAACTCCAGTAGTTCCATATTAACTCTCGACAAACCGCCTTGAAGTTAGTACAAATCTGGTAGGTGCTCTTTTTCTACCTATTTCCGCTATTTCACCATAATGTCTGAAAGTATGAGTTCTGAGGTATTTTAAACTTGATCTTTAGCATTCGAGTCATCAGTCTTGCAGTTTCCTGCAATACCCCTGTGATCAGGTACCCAAAA